TATTAGATGTCAGCTGTGAATTAAGAAGGATAATCCAGGATATTTTAACGAATAGAAAGCATTCTTACAAATAAGCTTTCTTATAAAGAATTGACATTATTAATGGATCTAAACAGAGAAATAATAGCTGCAGCTTTGAAGGAAATCTTTGTGAAATGATGGTCAAAGGTATTTGACTCAAGACAAATTATTCAGAACACATAAGAACTACTGAGAATTGAAACATAATTGCAACAGCAATTTTCACAGTTGTTCATGGATTATATCAAATACAGACACTTTGAGATATTTTGGGTGAAAAACATGATTATATTATGAATGTTAATATGAATTGAACTCAAATATTTTAACAGTGACTCTGCAGAGGTTAAAGACATTTTACATGGTAGTAACTGCCAAAATTATCCTTACTAGTTGAGAAATGGAATGTAACCCACCTCATTTTATATAAGATAAAATGAATAAAGTGTGAAATAGGAGGCCACTGGGGTAAACTAAACTCACCAAAGTATATTACTAACACCGGTAGGAGAATAATTGAAAATAGAATAGTTGTCATTCTCATTATTCACAGGTTTCCATTCCAATCTAATTGTGGTTATATGTGTGTGTATGTATGTATGTATCAGTGGTGGGTTTCAAAAATTGTTCGAACCTACTCTGTGGGTGTGGCCTCCTTTGTGGGAATGGCTTGCCACCCATGTGACCGGATGGGAGTGNCAAGCCTTCCGCATAGCCTTGAAGAACTGGCTCGCCCGTCAGGCCTGGGGATAAGGATAGTTACCCCCCCCGAATGATGAATGTATGTTGCCTACTATTTTATTATATGTCTTCTATCTTGTTGTTTGTGTTCCCCCCTTCCCAGTTTTATGTGAGCCGCCCTGAGTCCCCTCAGGGAAAAGGGCGGCCTACAAATTCTAATAAAACTAAACTAAAACTAAACTAAAACTAAAACTCTCCAGAGTTTAATTGACAGCATCATTCCTCAAAACTTTTTTTTTTAAAAAGGAGATATTCTTGAGGGGCATTTGATTGGCCCCCCATTGTTATTGAAAATTTAAAAAAAACGTTGTGGTTTTATGGATGATCTAAGTGTTATCTATTTTATTACTGTCATGTCTACTACCATGAATCATATAATTTGAGACCCTAGCAAGGCAGTGCCTGAAAAAAAAAGTGATCATTCCATGGCTTGCCAACACAACAACAACAAATTTGTTCATGCTCTGCCCAAGAAATCCACAGATGTCAAGCTTAACTCCAAGGAGACTTGACTTTATTAGTCAGTCTTGACCTAAAGCTTTAGAGTTTCGTCCTGAGAGTACTTCGAGGTTCTAAAACAAGGAACAAAATCTCACTCTAAATTAAATCAAAGCCAAATCGTGAATAGCTGGAATTTCTTTGCCTCTGAGGTTTGCTTTCACACATCACAGTCTAAATGCTGAAGAGATCAAAATAGTGACCCATAAACTATCAAATCCATAATGTGTCAGCCATACCTCCTTCAATAACCAAGAAAGAAAACTCCCAACTCCATTCTTTGTGGAATTAAAGATACTTTTACTGGTCATGAGAAGATAGCAGTGAAAGAAAAGCAAGATCAGTGTCAAAAAGGTGCGAACATGTACAGATCAAATATTTACCCAGCACCCTCTCCCAAATCACCCCAATCCAATGACCAATCTGCAACTCGCAAAGGTGTCATGTGGGGTACATTTTCAAAATCCTCATTCAGTTGGTATGCAGAGATGGTTGACCTTGACCCAGTCCAAACACAGGCCATCAGCATGCGCAGAAGATGGTGAGAACCAACCTCCCCTCGGATAACTCCTCCAGCACCGTAAGTTTCCCATCCCAAATACCTCAAGCCCCCTCCCTCCCCGTTTCTATGGCAGCCGATAGCAAGCAAGCGAAGTAGGCTGATATAATGTCAGTCTCTCCATCAAGGAGGGAAAAGTCACAGCACTCCAGATTCTGCCCACATGATTGTGTCTCATTCATCCTACTCATTGATTTTGTGGTTGATGCTTCGTTTAAACTAAAAGGGAAGTTGATATCTGGGGAAACAGCTTGCATAATGTTCATATGCTCAGAAGAAGAAGGTCTTGGATAGGTCTTGGGTTGATCAATATTTTCACTTCTATGTAACTAAGATGCTCTTCTTTTACTTGTGTCCCTGTTTCCTCCCAGCTTTCTTTCCTTTTTCCAAAACAGGTGGAGCATCTGCCATCCAGATCAAAGAAATTATCTGCTGGTTGCACAACAGAGGAGATAGACCCTCAAATGAGCAAACTGCTGGATGTAATTAGTTTTCAATGCTACTTTGGTTAATCATAATTGATAATTCATATCAACAACCATCTGTGAACATATTAAAGGTGGTAGAAGACTAGAAATTCAAGGTTTTGGCAGAATTCAATTTCAAACAAAATTCCTCGTTAAGAATAGAAGGGAAGGGAAGGGAAGGGAAGAGATGAGAAGAGGAATAGGAATAGTAGTCTAGACTAGATGAGAAGAGAAATAGAATAGGAATAAAAATAATAGACTAGAAGAGAAGAGACGAGGAATAGAATAGAAGAAAATAGAAATAGAAATAATAGACAAAGAGAAGAGAATAGGAATAGAAATAGGTAGACTAGAATAGACTACAGAATCCTAATCCTAGCAACCTGGCACCATAAAAAAAACCCCGCCAACNCACTCCCCCCCCAGCTTTTGGCACACAAGCCAAAAAAGGTTCGCCATCACTGGTATAGAGTTTCCTGCCTGAGCAGGCAGTTGGACTAGAAGACCTCCAAGATCCCTTCCCAAATTCTATTCTTATTCTATTCTATTCTCCAATCGAACATATTTTTAAAAGGATTAGAGAAAACATTCGAGTGAAAGAAAATCGTAGGACATTAATATAGGATAAGTGAATGCAGGAGAAAGGTAAAAACTACCAGCAAAAACTACAGAAAGAGCAAAGCGAGGGGGGGGGGAGTCGCTGGGGTTGGCTTAACGTGGCAAAGGACGCCTGGCTTTTCCTTCGTTTTCGCTAAAACTAAGCCAAAGCGGCCTATATTGTTGCAGCAGCCGCAGTCCAGCGGAGAGCGAGAAGCCCTTCAACTCACCTTTCGCCGGGATCCAGGGTTAGGCCGTAGGTTGGCGAGACTGACCCTAGGCAGGCTCTGCAACAGCCCCAAGGCTTTCATCCTGTTCCCCCCGCCAGGTGCCCGCGAAGCAGCCATCGCCTTCGCACAATTAATCACCAGGGAAGGAGCCAGGAGAACCGTCGCCCTGCAGGAAAAGGGCAAGCTCGCACGCGAGCTCTTGCGCAGGCGCATGGAGACAGAGAGCAACGAAAAATACGGAGTCTCCCCTCACAGTTTGCTTAAGGGTATGCGTTTCATCACGCGAAAACTACTTCAGAGGCAACCGTTGTCGGGAAGTCGCAGCGTTACGGGCTGAGTAATATTGTAACGCAGGACACGGACATTTTCTGAGGTTTTTTTTCCTGTGGGATTCTTTTAATCTGATTTTGAAAAAACTATAATGTACCGACTGGGGTAGTGAAGATGCAAAGGGCTGCGTGAAAATCAGTGCTTTTAAACCACTTGTGCATCTGAATGCATAGTGATTCCCTGGCTTGTTTTTGATAACATGCACTTTTTTTATTGCGCTGTCTGGAGAACTGTCTTGGAAAAGGTTGTCAATTAAAATACGGCACTGGATTCTCAAAAAGTGTTTAAGCTTCACTATTAAAATGAAGATTACATGTCAAAACTGGTGCACGCTGACTACACCTACCCCGTCTTTCCGTATATCGACTGGTGGGTTTAAAACGAAACCTACATTTCCAATACAAATATTAAAAATGAACGCGCAGCGTTTTTATAGCACTCGCAAAATCTCTGAGGCTGAAGTGCTGATTTTGTTCTACTCGGCAGGACAGGCTGTTTGTTGCCTAATGCCACACAGCCGCAATAACATTGACAAAACTTTCTCTTTTGAACAGCTGCCGCATTTCCTTACAGATCGCTCCAATATATATTTTTGCCTCCGCAAAAGATATTTAATGGGCAGAGTAACACCTCAAGAAAGAAGCCATTTCCAATTCTCAGCCCAACTCACCTCTAAGAGTGGTGGAAAAAGGAGGAAAGATTGTCTCTTTGGAAAGATAAACAGGAGGAAGAGAATTTTCGATTGTCTCTATTTATTTATTTAAAAAAAACATGCTCTTTAAAGACGGAAAACATGACAGCCCCCCTACCCCTTGATGAAGTCCAACTGTCAAAAGGAATAGCCATTTATTATTTATTTATTATTAGTTTGTCAAATATGTACCAAGATAGCAGGTATAAATATAAACATGGATATAAACGAAAGAAATGAATACAAATAGATGGGACAGTAGGACAGGGACGTTAGGCACGCTGCTGCACTTATGCACGCCCCCAATTCTATGGTGAGGAATGATGGGAGCCTTTGGAAGAGCGCATGTTGTCAATCTTCATATCAGCTAAAATAAAGCACGGTATCAAAACCAAAAAAGAAAGAAAAATTCGGTTAATTTCCCCTCTAAAATACATTTTTTCTAAAATTCTTCCCGGCTTCAGCTCCAATGAAGCCCCAGGGGAAGCCACGTGACCCGAACTGGGAGCTCCCAGAATCCCTTGCGTTGGCTGGCCTTTACGGGGGTCCGCAGGGGCTTGAAAGTCTGAAATCTCCGGTAAAGAGCCGCCGCCTACGCCGAGTAGGCCACCAGAGCGCACGCGCGGGGAGCCTAAGGCGAACCGGGCCGGCGCTCAAGCGTTCCTTTTCTTTCCCGCCCCCGTTTCAACGGCCGCCTCCGCGCTCTCTCAACTGAGCAGGAGGGAGCGGGAGGCCGCTCACTCCCCTCCCAACCCTTCCCAGGGAAGGGAGGCGGGCCTGCTGAGTCTCCTCTGTCTCCCTGGTTCCAATCGGGTTCCTGTGCGTCCCGTTTTCCCCACCTTCCTCCAGCCCGCCCGCCCGCCCCGTCAGTGACTGACTGGCCGACGCGAGAGGAGAGCCCAGTGTATGTGCGGCAACACCATGTCTGCTCCGCTCCCAGCCATTGTCCCGGCCGCCAAGAAGGCCACCGCCGCGGTGAGTGAATAACGGACATTTCTGACGGTTCTTATCTCCGGGGTCCAAGAAGGCGCGATGGGGCAAAGAGAGAAGAGGAAGGGTCGATTCAGGTTGAGCGAGGCTTCCTGCAGCGGGCCTTGCTTTTGGGTAACGCACATCGACTCACCCATGCAGATCTTTTCTGACCGGACAGGCGACTTCGCCGCCTCTGCCATTGACTTGGCTCTGACGCGGCGCTCTCTTATTTCCTGGAAAATACCGTATTGCCCCTGAACGCCTGAGCTTTTCTGATGGTCTTGACCAGGGGTTCCCAACTTGGCAACTTTAAGACTTGTGCACTTCAACTCCCAGAATTCTCCAGCCAGCTTCTTCATAACTAGCTGGAGAATTCTGGGAGTTGAAGTCCACAAGTCTTAAAGTTGCCAAGTTTGAAGACCTCTAGTCTTGACCGTTTGCTTGCGATCTGGGAGGTTTTTGGTCCAATAGCAGGAATACAAGATTAATAAATCTGATACTTACATTTTCAAGTACAGTTTTTAAAGTTTGACAATATCCACCGTGCTCTCACTTCCTAGGTCTTCATAGGTGCTTAGAAATTTAATTAGGACAGCTCCTTCCAACTTTTTAAAACTTTATGAGGAAGTTTCAAACTCTATGTGAAAAACATGTTTTATAGTATTCTGTTGTAAGTTTTTAAGAGGTGTAGATAGTATTTTTAAAAAGGAAAAAATTAAAAATGTCAGGTCCATGACACAACATTGTTGAAAAGATGCTGCATAGGGAAACAACACATTTATATTTTAAGCTAAAAAATAACCACTTTTTCACCATTTTAATTGGCCTTTCCAAAGTAGCTTGGTGTGAATTCTTGCATCAAAATAACTGAACTGAACTAAATTAGCGAGAATTGTGTTAATGTCAGCTACCATTCAAGAGTGTCTGGAAGAAATAGCCTTAAAAGCATTGTGCATGTAATTGCTGAAAATAATTTTAAGTGCTAAGTTGTGAAATTTGTGAAAAACATTTTTATGGGATTCTGTTGCACAGAATATTTCTCAGCTTTTTTCTATTAATAATACTGATGGATCATTATGATTTTAGACAATAGTTTGATATCTTTGGATGCCCAAAATTTAATTTTAAATGAACACTTGATGACTACATTTACTGATGATACAAACTGTTCAAAGTTGTAAAATAAAAAGAGAGATCCAGTTTCAGTACAGCTATTAAGTTCAGTGTAAAAAGGTATAAATTATATACATTGACAGAAAAAGTCTGAACTGTGTTAATGAAATCTGAATCTGCCCCTGACCAAAAAGTGATCTTTGAGTTATCATGGACATGAAGATGTCAACCCACTTACAATATTTTAAGAAAAAGGATAAAAATCATATCTACATACTTACCTGAGCTATTTTCTTATGGGTAAGCAGATGTAGCAAATAAGTAAAAAATAGCATAGCAAAGAAATAAGGGCACCAGGTAAGCAAAGAAAATATAATCAAATGTAGTTTACATCAGTACTATTCACTGTAACATTTCATACCTACTTTTGATATGTGCTCTACATGGGGCTGCCCTTGAAGAGCATCCGGAGACTTCAGCTAGTCCAGAATGCGGCCGCGCGAG